GCATTTGTGCGCTTACCCAAGGGATGCTGCTTTAGTACACATACAAATTTCAATGGCAAAACTTTGTATTCCGAAAGTATGTATGCTAATGTATATGATGGCATTCGCATATAAAGGCTTTAAAAACAAAATAAACAAAAAACTCAATACTGCAGGCTTATTAAACATTTCTCTCATAACTATGTAGTAACAATGAACCACAAACTAGCAACCTGTATTTGCGTAGTTGCCTCGTTCCTCCTCATTCAATCTAAAACTTGTACAAAGTAGTCAGCTAGCATTCATTTCCATCTGTTTCCGTACATTTAGTTAGCTTTGCTATCCAAACTCAGGGGTTGAAGAAGGGCGGATAAAATATCCAGACAAACAACTACACACAGGAACAAACAAAGCGCACACAAAAGAAATAAGAAATTCTGCGTCGCTCAGTACCACACTGCCCCAACCAGCGGCACGTAGTGCACACAGGTTGGTCCCCGAGCTCGCAAAGTCATTTTACGCTAACTTGAAAAGATTAGATTAAGGAACTTGAGTTTTCTTTCTCTTGTCGTATTCTTTCCTTCACTAACGCTGTTGCTATTATTGACTACTACTTTTTTGCCCGCTGCTGCCTTCCGCTAACACGACGTAATGAAAGATGCAAAAGCAAAGGAACGCACGCACTCCGAAAATCCGAAGTTGGAAAAATATTAAAATGCTGTGCAGATTTCGCACACAAAACAAGATGAAGACACCTGACTGAAATTTAAAGCAAAAGCATTAACTGGAAACTTTAACGAATTGCAATAAAGCCATCATCCCCCTCATTGAACAACCCGTAGCTTTGTCTGTTCATCCCTTGCCTGCCGACAGTTTCAGCCACTCATTTTTTGGCCGGCGACAGATGTTCGAATACAATATGTTCATCAGGGATGTAGCTAGTGTAGGCATCTTTACAAAACTAATTGTTTGAAAATTTTGCGGTTAAAAATTGGATTCTCGTTTGTACTATTCATTTGAAGATATCCTCTGAATTCAGCTATTCAATGAGAGTTCATGTTCTTAACATAGATGAGAAAGTTAACAGCTGCGTTAAATTCCATGGATTTAGCGAGAAAATATGTAAAACCACCAACGCTTAAAAATTATCGGATATTTTCCGATAGCTTCGTTGCTTAGGTAAAAAAAAAATATTGGTAACGTAAATCATGTTGAACAAAATAATTTCGCTCCCAAGAATTACCCTGGAAAATTCATAATAAGTATGCCAATAAGTTTGTACTTAGAAGCAATATGTTGGCAACCAAGTTATCGTCGCTTCATCAGCATTCGCGACTAATTCTCCTGAATGCATTCATATCGATTATGAAGTGTGTATGTTGTTTATTTTCTTGTGTAGGTCATATTTTTAGTAACTTTATGGGACGCAGAATGTCGCGTAAATATAAATTTAGCTACGACAAGCAAGCACAAAAGCTTGAAGATTACCTGCAATTTACATGTGACTGTTTAAATGACCGACGGACAAAAACCATGCATAAAACCGGCTTCATGCGGTGATTGTGAACTTAAGATTTTAGACATGTTAAATACGCGTGAAGAAGAATCTCAAATTACTTATATAGGATACAGAAACAAAAACTTGACACTGTTAATAGTTCGTCGATAAATCCGTCGGTATTTACACGATATATAAATATATATATATGTACATACATATGTAAATATGTATATGTATATATTTATTTAATTTAAAATAACGATTTTCTTTAATATAATAGTTGTGCAAGTTTATGAGTCGGAAAGACCATTACCAAGACATTTGATATTCTGCTTTCAAACGCTTTTCTCTTAAATGCTTCATTAGACAGTCAAATGATTTAAAAGGGGTGAAAAACGCGCAAAGCTACGACGAAAGGCAACAAAAGAACAATTGTGCGCCCACGCAGTGAAGGTTCGAATTAATCTAAAATGAAAATATTATATATACATATGTACATTAAAGTGGTCCAAAAATGTATGTAAAAAAAATAAGGTCGGATTTTTAATGCCGCCACCCCCTAGGATTGTTATATACCGAAAAAAAATATACCCATATTTTTTTATTTTGAAATAAAAAATAGTTTAGGTAGTGCTCAAAGCGCTCCAAGTTGTCCATGTATTTTATATGGAGAAAAAACATCTTTTCATAGAAATAGTGTAGAATTCTTGAAAATCAATATTTTTCGATCGGAAAACTTTACTCATCTTCAGGAGATTCCCAGTAATAATACTCAATTGTTTCTTTAACAATTTTTTCATGGTAACTATATTTTTTAGGTCCTCCAAAGCCCTTAGAAAATGCAATGGGGGGACCAATAAAAAATCTTTAATCATAAAAAATGGTTAAATAAACAATTGGATATTAATACTGAAAGTATCTTGAAGGATCCACAGTTTTCCGGTCGAAAAAATATTGATTTTCAAGAGTTTTATACCATTTCTACGAAAAATTGTTTTTTTCTCCATATAAAATACACCGAAAACTTTGAGCGCTTTGAGCACTCCCTAAATATTTTTTGATTTCAAAATAAAAAATAGGGGTATATTTTTTCAATATAGATCAATCCTAGGGTGTGCCGGCATTATTTTTTTTTTGGATCACTCTAATGTACATACATACACAAGTATGTATGCACATGAAAATATAAGTTGACGCGCAGGTTCACAGACTTTATAAAAGAACGCCATATAGACAAAGGTAGAGTGAGCGGATGTGCACAGCCAAAAGATTCAAAGATTTTGCCAAGCGTAATCGTAACAAGAAAATACCAACGAAAACTGAATGTGAAAGCACACATTTTGTTGCACGGAAGATGGAGCTTGTAAGGGAAAATATGCCCTTAAATACACGTAAAAAAATTCTTTGCTCACTAAATAGTACCCATATGACCTTAAACAGAAAATGTCTATGAATAAAATCGCCTAATTTAGTCATAGTTTTTTTAAGGCAGGTAAAGTGAGGAGTGCCTCAAACAAGTGTTCACGTTTAGATTTTTCTTTAAATATTCAGAATTTTTTTCAACAAAATTTTTTTTTCTATAAAAATATGGTCAAGCTGTAACCAAAACCATATACAGTGGCGCTCACCTATGAAAATAGCACACATTTATTGTTTACAATATTCACGTTGTACGTGATAATTTTTTTCGGAATTATTTTTTTTTTATAAAAATTTAGCAGATTATATAACATAAACGATATAAGTCAAAGACTGCACAGTTCAGGAAAATGTAACAAATTCAAAAAAATTTCATCAAAATGGTCACTTTTTTTCAGAATTTTTAGAAACTTTTTGGGTATGCAGTTTTGTAGTCTATCAACGAGACATTACAGAATTTTCACACTTGCACATTTTTAGACTAAAATTCAACAGGCTACAAAACTGAATATTTTGATGACATTTTTTAGAGATCTATTAAATTTTCCTGAATTGTGCACAAAGTTTTGAACCTTGGCATAAATGGTTTATATTATAGAATCTACGATATTTTTTATAAAGAACTAACAAAAAAAAAAATATCACGTAGAACATTGTGAATATTGTAAAAAATAAATGTGTGCTATTTACGTGAGCGCCATTGTCAATTAAAGTTTCAAACTTTATACAAAATACATATACGAAAATTCAACAAACTTTCATAAAAAAATCCTGTTGATTTTTTGGAGTTTTTTTTTGTGACTGCTTTGCGGTTTTTTATATAACAAGTTCCATTCACAAAAACTGGTGTTGAAATTCATGGTCATATGGAAAAAAGTGCAAAAATCCGTCAGCAACGCGATTTTTCAGCCCCTTCAAACTTGCACTTCTAAAGTTTTATGGGCTATAAAACTACCTGCCCAAAAATGTTCTAAAAATTGAGATTATAATGCTCGAAATTTGGACGAAAATTTGTTGAATTTTCTTAAGTTTTGTATAGAGTTTGAAACTTAAATTTTTTGGTTTTGGTTAAAGTTGGACAATGGTTTTATAGAAATATAACAAAAAAATAAAAATAAACTTGAAAAACGTTGTGAATATTAAAAAAATATCAACATGTAAACATTGTTTGAGTTACTGTATGTACATATGTATATATATACATCACTAATTTACTAAAACTATCATAACTCAAGAAGGGACTTTTAAGGAGACGATTTCAAAGTACAATTTAATTCGAAATGTTTACACAAGATCGAAAGGCCTTTGGTAAACAAAAGCGTATTTATAGATTCGTTCCAGTGCATTTTTTACGATTGATATTTTAACGCAATTGGCCAGGCTTTACTCGCAGTGTATAGTGATAGGTATCGTCGTGTATCCAGCCACCTTAACATTCCGCTACCCTTTTTCAAAACATCAGTATAAGAAAATTGTCAACGTCTACCGCCCCAAAACGATTGTTTGAATGTAACGGTAGCGCCGGACTTGCTCCATTCAAAACATATGTTGCGCTCCCATTACTCGCATATTCAATTTTGTATGTAATATTGCAACAAAGGAACAAGAGCTGCGCAACACGGCGAAGAACGGAGGTTGCGGCATGAAATATTAAAGAAATCTGGAGGGTATTATGATGCCGAGCGTGGGGAACGTGCCTGGCATTTTATTGTTTTTATCACACAGCAAACTTTCTACTTATGTTTATTACATTTGTTCTCGAAAAATACTCGCAAAAGGTGACAAGAGCAGAAGTTAGCGACAACATTGGGCAAATACATATTTATTGGCAGAATCACTAATAATAAAAACAGAACACGCAATGATTTGTGTTGTTGTGTGTTACTTACCGGTTTTTTCCTTAATCTCACAAAGTACCGAGAACAAAGCAGGCTTCATGCGATGACAGTTTAAGGTGTGCTTTCTTGCCTGCGCCTCATCCAGTGATTGCTCCGAAATGCTCATAATTTGCTGCAAAATTTCACCAATATCCTTCTGCTTACGGACTTCGTTTTCATTGCCAGCGTTTTGGCCATCATCCTGGCCCGGCATACCGTAAGCTTGTGGGGCCATCATGCCACCAGTATGTGCCATCATACGG